GCTGGTCGCTGGAAGTGTTCTTCTCTGGCTGGCGTTCGTGGTGTCGAGACCTACTCTGTGGCTGCACCTCTCCTCTTCTACCTTCTCCTCTTACTTATTTCCCTTACCTTAAGTTCCTGTACCATTAAGTTAAGTACGGTGTGTTTTAAGTGTGCCTACTCGGCAGTAAAGATTGGCGAGACCTGGGGGTAGTATTTGCCAGTGTTTTGGGTACCACTAAGTGTTGTGTTTTTGTATTAGGGTACCACGTGGTCTCACTACCCTAAGCTGCATCCAGCTTCAGTGCTTATCCATTAGTACTTTACCCTAGCTTGTTCACAGTGTAAACCTTGTATCCTGTCTATGTGGACCAAGGCTTTAAACGTAAGATAGTGTGGTAGAGTAATTATTATTATTGTTATTGGTGTGAGTGTATATGGGGGGTTGTTAAGGGGTTAATAAATAAGTAAATTAGTAATGGAGTATCCCTTCTTTCTGTGTGGGAGTGCTATGATCAACCTCTAGTCTGACACATGGTCTAGTAGCAAGTTATTATTACTGTGGATAGATTATTTTGGGGGCCGGGCCTTTTAGTTCTCCCATATTTGATAACTCTGTATTCTAACTACCCTTACCCCTTAATAGTACTAGTTCCCCCATAGCAAGTCCATAATTCACATAACAGCAAGTGGGAGAGATACATAATAATTTACACGTGGAAAATAATTGAGGGGCTGGTCCCAAACCTGCACACAGAAATAACATCACATGAGACCAGAAGACATGGCAGGATGTGCAGAATACCCCTGTTAAAAAGCAGAGGTGCAACAGGCACTCTGAGAGAGAACTCTATCAACATCAGAGGCCCGAGACTGTTCAACACGCTTCCACTACATATAAGGGGCATAACTGGTCGACCCCTCACAGTGTTAAAGAGAGAACTGGATAAGCACCTCCAAAGGATACCTGATCAACCAGGCTGTGACTCATACGTCAGGCTGCGAGCAGCTGCGTCTAACAGCCTGGTTGATCAGTCCAGCAACCAGGAAGCCTGGTCGACGACCGGGCCACGGGGACGCTAAGCCCCGGAAGCACCTCAAGGTAACCTCAAGATAAGGGTAGACGTTCACATAGATATTAGATGAATCGCCATCCATTTACTTACGCCCATGCTAGGAACCTCTGACACTATTCCAAATTTCAAGGACATTTATGATCCTGGAAGACATTAGTGATGAAAAACGTATTTAAAAAGAGTTAACTTGTTAAGTTATCTTTCAGAATTTGGCATTTTCAACATTTCTGCACTTCACTATGGCATAAAATTATCATAACTTTATGGATAATTCTTATATATAATATTCTACATCGTTAGGCATTTTGTTTTCATTTGTTTAAACTAAATGTTATACAATTTTTTTTTTTTTTTTTTTTTTTTTTTTTTTTTTTTGAGATATATACAAGAGTTGTTACATTCTTGTACAGCCACTAGTACGCGTAGCGTTTCGGGCAGGTCCCTGGAATACGATCCCCTGCCGCGAAGAATCGTTTTTTCATCCAAGTACACATTTTACTGTTGCATTAAACAGAGGCTACAGTTAAGGAATTGCGCCCAGTAAATCCTCCCCGGCCAGGATACGAACCCATGACATAGCGCTCGCGGAACGCCAGGCGAGTGTCTTACCACTACACCACGGAGACAATATGCAAAAGAGATTTTTATTTTATTTATGCACATCAGAAAGCTAACTTAATTTAGTTAGTTAACTTATGGGCACTTATAACAGCTCCATATTGTCTGAGCAGCATTGTCCTGCACCTCCTCATAGAATGTCCCGATTTTCAGGATGATTGTAAGGTTCTTTCCCAATATTCATCGGTTTCTCTTGTCCCTTGATAAAATCCTTGGTAAATTTGACTTCGTTCATGTATTTTGCTCTCGTATTGGTATCCTGAGTGATATTTAGGACATTTTGAATATCTTGCTACATAAATGGTGCTAAACAGTCTTCCTAGGCACTTCCTAGTGCCTTCTTTTAAGGGGCCCAGTGACTGAGGAGTATCTTTCCAAATATGAAACAGTGAATATTTTTTAACAAATCTCCCATTATTTGGCATCAGCGTCGTGAAAATTTCATCCCAATATGTTAAGAAATGGATTTTTTACAAATTTTTTAATAATAAATGCATGCACAATGGGCAGCAACCAAAATTCTATGTGGATTTTGTTATGACTTCTACATCTTTGAGAATGTATATCTGGCACTAAGCACAAAGTTGGAACAAAATTAGTCAACATGTTATTCAGCCACAGGTGGCAGAAGTTGTGACTTCTATTTTGTTTGGCCCGATTTATTTACAGATTTCAAACTCTATTTTCTGTATCTTTAGGTTGTATTGATGAATGAGTACCAGATGAGGGCCTTATCACTTATATATGGACAATAAAGTTACAGCAATATACCTCCGCTGTTTGTTATCCCAAACGTATTGCTATATATTTTTTTTTTTGGGGGGGGGGGGGGGGTATTTTTTCTTGACTTCATTTCAGAACATATTGTTCTACAACTTTCACATATTTAAGTATGAATGCCAAGCTATCTTAATTAAAACTTATGAGATATGTCATAAATTCAAAGTACTATACACATTGTCGAGAACTTAAACTTCATTTTTCTGTATGAACAGAATTTTAAACTTTGAGACTTGATAAAAACTCAGTTTCTGACCGATTCTCAACATATTTACACATTATGTGCAAAGTTCTTAATTCTAAGGTTTCCTTTTTGTCATGTAGTCATAAAGCCATAACGTTTGGAGTTATAAATTTTTTATGTATGAATTTGGCACATATTTGGACAGCCACATTGAAAAAAATGCTTTACAGTAAACTATACTCTCAAACAATATTTTTAAAAAAGGAACATGAACTTTATATGCCATTCTGAGAACATAATGATAAAATTATCAAAATGTCATCAATTGTTATTTTAATCACTAATTTGAAATTGTGATTTATTTTTTTTTAACTTTTTTTCAGTTCATGGTATGATGTTGATCCATTAGGAAAAATTGGAGCATTTACCATGAAGATATTATTCACAAAATATTGAGTGTGTTTGAGGACGTTTCGGTGCACAGTCACCAGGCCCCTTAAATTGCGCATCGCATCATATGATGCTTTGACCGACTTGCAGTAAATTGCGCATCGCATCATATGATGCTTTGACCGACTTGCAGTAAATTGCGCATCGCATCATATGATGCTTTGGAGTACTACGCAAGATTTAAACGGCCCGCGGATACACGGGGTTCACCACACCATCAGGGCTCTTGTAAACAGACGCCATTTTAAAAAAAAATTGTGGGCCAAATTCCTGGGTGTTAGGGGCCTCAGTATTGAGTGAGCTACCAAGCCTGATGCACGCAGCATGAGCTCACAGCACTGCTGTTCAGCTTGTGACCACAGCATCGCCTAAAAATGCCATAATATACTTGTTCATGGTATTATGTAGCGATGATATTATTACAGTAGACCCCTGACTGTGATAAAACTGACCAGGGTTCTGATATTAGCAGGACTGTGGTGATATTTAGCGCTGTGCTCCATGGAGGGAGGAGTAATGCTGTGGGAGGGAAGGGTGGTGGCATTGTCTTCTGACTGTGTGTGGCCACCTTTTATTGACTGCACTCACCATACCAGCTTAGTGGTTCGCTATGGTGAACACAAATGTAGATACTTATATATAACGTGTGTATAGAGGGTATAAACAGCAAGAGGAGTAGGTTGGGGGCCGCCATTTTGGTGAGGGCGGTGGCATCGTCTGCACGATTTATCATGTTGTTTCCTGGTGACCACGATGGTCTTTGGGCACCATACCAGTTTACTTGTACAAGTATGGTGAATAAAACAGGTAGATATTTATATATAATGTGTGTATATAGCATAATAACACCACAAACAGTATTGTTGGAGGAGAAATATTAGTGCGTCTGGCCTAGAGGTCGGTAGCCATCAGCTGACTGTGTGAGTAGCTATGTCTTTGTGCCTTTACTCACCATACAAGCTTAGATGTAGTTATGGTTAACAAAACATGAAAATACTTATACATAACGTCTGTATATAAAAGCAAAAACAGTATGGTGGGAGGAGAATTGTGGCGAGCCAGGTGAGGTGAGGTAGGGAGGGAGTGGCAGCCAGTGGCGAGCTGCCACTGGCTGCCACTGCCGCTGCCACTCAGCATACCAACTTAGTGGTTCGTTATGGTGAACACGAATGTAGATACTTATATATAACGTCTGTATATAGTGAATAAAAGCAAAAACAGTATGGTGGGAGGAGAATGTAGGCGAGTAAGGTGTTGAGGGAGGGAGTGAGTGGCTGGCTGGTACACGGCGGTCACTCCTCATTACTTTTTGACTCATAATAGCAACTTAGTGGTTCGTTATAGTGAACAAAACATGCAGATACATATATATAACCTGCGTATATAGTGTAATAACCGACAAAGTATTTGTTCACTGTTTGATGAACATAATTGAATCAACAATATGCACACCATATTTTTGAGTACAGAAATGATTCACTCATTTTATTATATAAATATATCACACTACACACTATTGAATAATATTACAGCAAAAAAAAAAACTACAAAAAATCAATCAGAGACATTGAAATAATTAGGTAATTATCTCTTTGTGGCAACTCCGGCCTGACAGCTGGCGAGGAACAAACCGCCTGGGACGAACACTCAGTCAGCGCCTGTTTTTTGCCAGACTTCCCCGCTCTATAGCAGGCAATATATGCCACTTACAATTTTTTTATTATTTTTCCCATGATCAGTGAACACAAATTAACAGGTTAGGAAGATTTTTTTTTTTTTTTTTTTTTTTTTTTTTTTTATTTTTTTTATGCGCCTGTGGGTGTTAAATGGTATATAGCCATGCGCCTTTTAAGTGTTAATATCATGGCTTTCTGAAGTGAATTTTTAGAATTACCTTAGGGATAAAATACTGTGCAATGGACATTATTTATTTTCATACAATTTTGTTTTCACTTTGAAAACATATCAGTTTAATGGATATATATATCAACAACCAATACACCCAATATAATTCACACTTTTACCAAATACTAGTACATAAAAATGGCTAATATTGTATGGTTACAAGAATTTAAATTCAAGGTACAAATTTTCCATCACGGGCATTCTGAACCATTGTCAGAAGATTGATGAATGAATCGATTGTGTTAACGTCAATGGAGAGGGTCTTCATCTGGAAAAAATTTAAAAAGATAAGTATAGTACTGTATTTGATGACATGCAACAACATGAAAAAAGCCATGGCTTATAGTGTTCCATAAAACCAGCATTGAATGTAATGAAATGCCATTATCTGGGTGAGCCCCGAAGGCTCCCTGGAGTTTATTGAGCTAATGTATGTTATATTAGACCGGGACATTAGCTAAGGAGTTCAGACCTACCAGGGACCAGCGCCAGAACCTGGCCCCTTCAGAGAGGTTTCAGGGAGCAATGGCCCTGGAAAACTCCCTTGTGGTTGGGGTTTTCCTTATCTGCCATCGACTGGGGTTAGGCACCCAGAAAGGTAGGCATAACAAAACAAACCCCACATGGTAAAAAACTAAAACAAAAAAACGAACAGAGGTAGAAACTCCCTACAATCCCAAGGAAACAAGCAAACATCTCACTTTACTGCCGTGCTGATCGTTCGCGCAGCCCTCCCCGCCCCAAGAGGGGCAGGGGGGAACCCCGGACCTACCTCACTGGCTGCCTAGCATCAGTTTGGAAGCTAAGCTTCAACCAACGCGAAAAAACCACCAACCGGTGGGAGGGAGGGTTGCCAGAGAGTCTCCGGGGCTCACCCAGAAAATGGCGTTTCATTACATTCAACGCTGGTTTTCTGTGGGGAGCCCCTAAGGCTCCCTGGAGCTTCATACCCAAAGAGAAGGAAAAGAAAGGGCTGACCCGGGAGGCGGCCGCCTCAAACTCTGCAACGCGAAGCCGAGACAACAGGCTGCAACCTGCGACCCAAGGCAACAAGAACGCACAGGAGCAGACGCGCATTAAGAATGGGCGGCCAAGAACCTGTGCGACCCTCAAATCCCTGCGGCCGAAATGAGCCCTAGACGTCACCAACACAGCAGCAAAAGCTGCAAACGTCCGAACAGCACAGGCGCAAGGACAGACCACAGGCTGGAAGACTTAAAAACTCTGTGGACAACCTGGGAGACCCGAGCACTGAAACAGGGAACGAGGGGAACCGGATCAACCCAAAGCGCATCCCCAGACATGGTACGCAGGTAACGCAAAAAAGCGCAACCGGACAACACAGGATGCACCCCTGGCCAAATCAATCAGGCATCAATAACCCAAGAACCCCTCCGGAAAGCAGCCGTCTCGACTGTCGCCAGATGGATGGAGAAAGGCTGCAAACGTACAAACCTACCGCCAGTACCAAAGAGCAGAAACCTGAACAGAAGGGGCTACCACAAACTGAGGAGAAGAGAAGAAGGCACCAGAGAAGACAACCTACGAAGAGCAAGAAAAAAGTGCATAGAAACACCAGGAACGTCATACTGTCACCAAGACGAAGCTCGAAGGTGGGACACCGTCAACAAAGCCACCTGATCACCACAAAGATGGTGATACCCGCGTCAAAATACCAGATGCGAAGAGCTGAGGAGAAGGCCGAACCAGTCACATACAGGACAGGTCCGACCTGCCAAAAGAGGCGGAGCTGCGGGAAAATGCCCCGGGTTCAGACACCTATCAAGCAGCGTCTGAAAATAAAGCTCGACCGTCCACCAAGGGACCATAAGGATTACTCACGTGGGAATGGGCTCCAACCAAGCCAGAACCCGAAGCAACAGCTGGACCGGGAGAAGAGGAACAGGTACCCCCACCTCGACCAGTCTTGCCGAAAGGCATCCACCGTGAATGCCTCGCAGGCGGGTACGAGCGCCACATAGAATGGGCGACATCTAGACCACACCGACTCGAAGACGTCCATGGCCAGGAGTCCATACATCAGGAAGAGCCAACGAAACGAGTCGGCGACGACTGGCCAATCCGCGAACAGAGGAATGAACCGAGACAGCTGTCCGCCAGGACGCAGGACACACCCCGGACATGAACCTCACGGTTAGCCAAACCCCGAGAATCCAGCAAACGATCCACTCTAAGGGACTAACCCCAAAGGTCAAACACCTAAGAGAAACCCTGTGGTTCCGGCAAACAACCGCCAGAAAACAGTCCGAATGGAGCTGAATGGTAGAGCACCAAGTGACCCAAACCCTCCAAAGCGCAAACCAGACAGCCATGAACTCCTGTCTGTTAGCCCGATGGACAGACAGACAGTACCATACCCGGCTAACCTGGTGAGCACATCGAGCGAAGGCTCGGGGAGGTGCCAAGGCACGGAACCCCAAAAACCCCAAAGAGGAAGATGGTGACAACACCAACACAAGATCCCCGGAGGAACGAACCCAACGATTGCAAGAGAGGTGGAAGGGGAGTCTCCGAAGGAACCAAACAGACGCCGAAGCCAAACCCGACCCTGCGGGCAGACCAGCACGTCAAAGTTCAGACTCCCGCACAACTGATCGAGCAACTGCCGAGCAACCTGGGACCCCCTCATGAACAGCCGAAGGTGGGACCACAGCCGCAGCAACACTTCTGAAGGGAAAGACAAGGAGCGGCCTAAGAGCCGCTCCTTGTCTTTCCCTTGTCTTTCTAAACAAGACCCAGCCAAGTCCGAACCCGGGATGGAAACAAATGGAACGGCCTCCAGATCACCAGGAAACCAAATCTGGCGATCTGGAAAGTACCACACCCCTGGCGAGCAGACAAGCGGACCGACTGGGAGCCCACACCAGCCAGTTGTCGAGGTAGGCCAGACACCGAATCCCAAGCAGACTCAGACAGGGCACCCAGATCCGGTAAAGATGCGTAAATACATCAATGCCCAATTACAAAATAGGGAAGGCAACAAAAGCGGTAAGCCTGAAGCCCCACCACCAACTGTGCCAGTCCCGGAAAACTGGAGAGGAACGTGCCAAGAACTGACCTGGAGGTCCAGGGCCACCATCCAGGCACCCGGCCCCAACAGAAGCCGGATAGGAGACAACAGTCCTCCGATGAGGGCATAGAATCCAGGGCGCAGACTGAAGAAGTCCAGAAGAACCGCAGATTCGACAGGCCCATGTCTGCATAGATCAGACGGGAACCCCAGAAGGATGGGGTGGATCGACCACGTCCAATGCACCCACGAAGATGACATGACGAAGCGCAGGGGAAGAAGCCCACCCCGCCAGCCCTGAACCCCCCAAAGGGGGAGAAACCATCCACCACCACCACCAGAGGTCGGAAGACAACCAAAAGTGCCCACTAACTGCAGAAACATGTGAGAGTCAGCAGAGCAAGCTGCTCCCCCAGTGCCCCGTCAACAGAGAAGGGAACAGAGCCCCTTCTGAAAGAAAAAGTATACATTCACATATACACATATATATATTATGCATATACACATACACACAAGGTATGTTACACACATACCAAGACTGTCAGTAGTTTCAAAGCGTTATATGACAAAAAGTGCTTGGAAGACGGGACACCACGAGCGTAGCTCTCATCCTGTAACGACACTTAGGTAATTACACACACATGCGTATGCACATACATATGTGCACACACACACACAGTGTACACCTGTACATACACATGTGTACACACACACATACACATGAAAAGAAAATTACAAGCCACCGACCAGTGGGCAGAGAGCACCACACCGGCCAGGCGAAGAAGGCACAAAACTGCATCAAAAGGCCCAACTCGACAACAAAACCCCAAAGTCCCAGCACGACCACAACACGTGCCAAGACCCAAAAAGATCAGTCTGCAAGCCAGGAAGACCCCAGAACCCCAGAAGGCAGAACCGGGTCACACACGAGGAAACAAAGCCCCCTGAACCCACAAAGGGGGCCCAAGAGGAAGAAATCTCCGGAACAAAACCAAAGAACCCAAAGGAACCTGGAATCGAACTAGGGGGAGCCCAAACCACCACATTTGCCGGCGGAGATACACCACAGAAAGGCAAAGCACAGCCCCAGACAGAACCCCCAGGGAAACGGTCAAAACAGACTGAAAACCGAGGGACAAGGTGTGGGAGAAAGCATGACAGACAGGGCACTGAGCCCAAACCCAAGGGCCCAGACCCAAAACAGACAAAACGGAAAACCCGGTTTAAAATCAACACTCAAACTTTCCCAGAGGAACAGGAAACAGGCAGAAAACACCAGAAAAGCCAGGAAACGACAACAGGAGAATAAAACCCCTGAAAAAGGTGAAAAACTCACCCAAGATGCTCGCTCGCACACCCAGGCGCACATAAACAAACCGCAACGCCGCCCTGGTGGCCATGCCGAGAAACCGGCAGAAGAAAATGACCACCAGAACAGAGGGCTGTGACTGACGCAAAAGATACGAAAATACGCCAGCAAAAGTGGGAAGCAAGCAGACTGGAAGGGCGAAAAACTCAGCCCAGAAGCAGAAAACCCAGGCAGGGGCAAACTGCCCCAGAACTGCTGGCAGGCATCCCCCACAGCCCTGGGAACCCGCAGAGGCCCCAGGGCAGAGCCGTTCTCCAAGCCCTCCGCCCTTAAAGAAAAGCAAGAGTCCATGGGAAAGGCAGCAAGAAAGGGCCGCTGGTAAGACCCAGAAGCCTTGGCAGGAGGAACAGGCTCGAAAACCTCTGTCCCCAACCCGAACAGGGCAGCCCCCGAAAAACCGCCTGAGTCTTTGCCCCAACTAAACCCCGCCCCGACCCCGAAACCCGCAGATAGTCCGGAGCCGGGAACAGGGAGGGAAAGGGGCAAACAGCACCTAACCAAAACGGGGCGGCCTTGGAGCATCCGAGTGGGGAAACCAACCTAGCATGTTGCAGCAACCTAACCTAGCTTGCAACACGGATGCTGCCTGTACTCTGAACAGTAACATCAGGAGAGTACTGGAGAAAAAGAAAGAGAATTTCTCTTGCAAGACTCTGGGTCAAGGTGTCAGTGACCCAACAGGCAGCATGACGGAGTTAAAGTGGCAACTGTCACCCAGAGACAAGAGCACTGCAACCAACGATCCCGTACAAGACGGGTTGGGACCCGGAAGACACATACAATGGTCCACTGAGCCCCGACAGGGGTTTGCAGGGCCCGTAGGGGTAACAACTACGGGAAGCCCGGGCAAGGTGTTACTAACCAGTTA